TATGTCTCCTCCAAATGATTTTGCCAAGTTTCAAAAGCAGTCTTTATTGTTAACTATTATTTATCCCCAAGTGTAGAATTCTGTTCCACTGGGATGGTGTTCCTAGACTGATATGTGTAATGTAATAAAATGCTATCTTCTCCAATAGGATGGATTAAAACCACTCCTAAGGCACAGCTGGAGCCATATGTCTCTTTTTTCCCCTCTCAATTCTTTACCCTGTCAGACTTCATTACTAGATGGCAGTGGTGTTCCAGGCATTTAGCTGAGTACCACATAGTTCCTCCATTAGACAACTTTAGGATCATAGGCTTAAAGTACTCCATTCCTAAAATTATGGTGTCGTCTGCTATGCAGAAACAGACTTTCTTACTTATGATCTGGGCAGACAAAAGAAAGGCACTCTAAATAATGGCCCCACTTAACAATAGTTACCCTTCAGGAGCCTCACCTGCCATCTGAATGGAAGTAGGAAGATGCTTCTGTGGAAATATAATGAGAACACGTAAAATCCAAGCCATGAAATTACTCTAAACTTTGGAATCTAGCACAGGTAAGATACAGGTCTGCATCTGATCCCCACAATCAACATTTATTAGAATGGTGAAAAGCCATGAAAACACTTGGGGAGTAAAGGGCTCCCCTTCCCCTCAGGCCAAGGGCTCTTACAGAACCTGAGAGGACTGGTTTTCCTTATGGGCAAGGCATCTCTTATTTTCTGGACACTTGTTGCAAAATACCCTCCCTGCCCACAATATAGGCACAGCCTTTGCTTGTGTCCATAGGACTTTTCTTCCTCCAAGAGACAAGGACTGACCTCTCCAATTGCACCATTTCCTCCTCCATTACTTTAATAGATTGGTGAGTATAAGAGCACAGAATGTGGTACAGGATATTTCCTATTACCAGTGCTTCAAGATACTCTCCAGCCTGAGCATGTCTAGATTCAAGCCAGCCATCTGTTCTAAGACTCAGCTGAATTAATCTGTTTGACCTCCAAGAACCAGATGCAGCATGTCTGGTGATGTCATGGCATTACTGGAGTGGGTGGGTTAAAATGTCTTCTCAGATTTTTGAAGTGTCTGAGGTGTTTAAGGGACAAAATGTGTACGTTATATGTCTCAAGTTTAAGACACTTCATTCAGTTTCCCAAAAATGCTGTATGTACCTGAAAATAGCCACTTTCTATTGGCTACTTCCTGGGCCTCTTGATTTGGCAAGGCAAAATAATGTAAGAAAGACCCAGAGCTTTCTGCAATATTTTCCTATTCCTCAGGTTTACTCACATTAAAAGATGTGTATTGCTAAAAATGATTAAGAAATAAAAACATTCTACAAAATTACCTAGAGCACATCTAACTACTGGAAAAGTAAGTAACATATACTTTCTAAAAGCAATTGCAAGGGAGTGAAGTTGGGGTTGCTATCTGTGCTTGGGAAAAGTAGCTGCAGCCAAGCAGAAACGCTTCTCACCCAATTTCCCTCATTTCCCTAACTCAAACTTTACTCACAAGCATCCAGGCTGGCATTCCAGCTGCCTGTGATAATTGAGCCACACCCTGGCATTTTCAAGGACGTGCCCACCCCGCCCAGGCTCTTAGCTTACAAAAACAAACACTAAGGTACAGTGGGAAGCTGTGTGTGTAGGAGGAAAGGTGATAAGCAAACAGCGTGCAGACGGGGAAGCGGAGGTGACATCTGAAGATTGGCAGCTATTACAAGCAGACAAGAGGACTATTATTCAACTGCCAGGACCACAAGTTATGATGAGCAGCATATCCTGGAGGGAGTCTGGCCTGGAGCTCGAAGCCAATTCATGAAACAACTTGGACATCACTCTTCTAAGGGTGAACCAACGTGACCAAGTTGCTTTGTTTTGCAGAACGTCTGGCAAGTGCTGCATAAAATAAGTCACTTGCCTTATCTGGATCATTTTCTGTTAAAAGACAGCAAGAATTCCCAATATTTCTTGGCAATTTTTGTTGTTTTGAGAGTATGTGGCTGCCACTCAAAACAGATAAATAACAAAATAAACAAATAAATGGCTGTCTGCACATTTAAGTGGGTATCTATGAGAATTAAATTTGAATAAAAACCTGAAAATGTGGATTTTAAGTGAAACCAGTTCAGAATTAAGCCTTAAAGTTAAGAACTTAACTTTAAAAATAATTAAGACATTAAAAATAGAAAGAGGGTCACTGTTGGTATAAGCACCTACATTCTTTTCCCCACTTTATCTTTTGTAGTGTTCCAATCACAATATGTATTATTACCAAGAGGCTACAAACTAGGATTTGGGTTAATAACTTTATTTTTGTGAACCTTTGCAATAAAAACTGTATGTAGGAATTGTCTCATCTGTTACCACCACTGGCCTGAACCCACAGCATTACCCATCCTCTTTCTTCCTAGCGTCTAGTATACTTTTTTCTCAGAACTGAGCCTGACTGGGGCTGATTCTCAGATATAATATCAAGTTCAGTCTGCAGTGTAGCTTCAAGATCAGCCAATCTAGGCTTCAGACAAACAGGAAGGAGTCCTGTTTCAAAGCTACTAGCCAGGTTTTGATACTCACAAGGCAGATCTAGGTCTCAAAATAATGGTAGCCTTCCAAAGTAAGTTCAGACATGTATCTTCTCTTCATTCACAACAACTATCATAGAGCAAGCACTACAGAGGGTTTTATATAACCTCATACTACGCTTCCAAAGACCATTTAGATATTCAATGTCCTTACTAAGTGAAAATATATGATATGCATACATGCACACTCTATGGCAGGATCATCCATATTCCAAGTTCCAAAAATACGGTAGTCAGAGTCTTTTTGTAAAGAGTCAATCGTGCAAGTCAGTTTCACAAAGATCTTAATTAAACATGAATTCTTAAAACTCCCAATGATATTTCTTCTAGTTAAATGTTTTTGGTAGTGTTATTATATAATAACTGTAACATTTTATGTAACAAATCATTTTTCTTCTAGAAAAACATGGCAACATTTACCAAAATCAGTGCCATTATGACAGTTCCAAATATACTTTATATGGAGATTTTCACCAAATCAGGATATGCTCAGTTCCCAAATACTGTACAGCAGAAATAAACAATCAAACAGAAATGAAAAAAAGGGGAGGAAAAAATAAAAAGCAGAAATAAATAAAGCAGAAATAAACAAACAAACAGAAAGGAAAAAAAGGGGGGAACACAACATTTGTTTTTAATCTATTGCTTATAAATTGTTTTCTTTTCATTTATCTTCATCGCTGTATTATGGCTATTAATCCAAAAGATTAGCGACAGATTTGAAATCAGACAAACCAGAAAGGGCAGGAGGAATGCTGTTAATCTGAAAATACATACATTTTCTTTTGAAACATTTCATATGATAGGAAATTCTTTGATGTTCATGACAGTATCTAAGAGTTCAAGAGCAGAGAGTTGGCATGCTGTCACTATTTTTCCTCACCCTAATTCTCAGGACCAGGTCATTCTAGCCACTTTTAAGATAAAGTTATTTAGCCTCTCCCCACTCCTTCAGCCTGATACACAACTGAATTACATGGAAGTTTTGTGATCTGCCCTAGTCAAGTGGAGGATGAGACCTTTCTAAGCCAATTTTCACTATAGCATTACAATATAATTATACTTCAGTCAACCTCTAAACCAATCATTTTTGAGGGCAACACTTATTTAATTGTTTGAGGAAGATCTACAAGAATGTTTAATTCAAGATTTGCTTATGACAACCCTTTACTACACAGAATGTCCTTCTTTCCTTCCCTATAACCTTAATTACTATTTCCAAGACAAATGGCTATGGTGAAACAACTGTTCCCAAATATGGAAATCAATGATCTGTACAGCTACCTCAAAGATTGAAGGATTAGATTTTAGTCAGAAGAGAACCCTTTAAAAATGTTTTGCAATTTAATGTTTTACAATTTAACAAAATCAAATCAAACTCAGTTTGAGTAGGGGAAAAATCCCCATAAATAGATAATTGGTTTTATTTTGATTCAGGAAAGTAGCCTAATTTCTGAGTTTAACTCTTCCCTTGTTTGGTTCACAGTAACCACAATTTTAGTTCAGTGTGGGAAACCTGAGCCTATGAAATGAACAGTACTAATTTCCTGACTGCCCTTTTTCTGAGATTTCTTTTTCTTCCCAGTCTAACCTACAGCCCTGTTATTTCCTAGAGGTCTCTCATCTAAGGACTAACCATGTCTAACCCTGCTACGCTTTTTGAGATCAGTCAAAACTGGCTAGATGTTATCCCCAGCTGAGCTGTTTTTGATAGTTCTCCCACTTCAGATCCATGTTTGCAACCCATTATTTAAAAATAAACCTAAAAAAAAAAGAAAACCTTTCCCACATTTCTGATAAAAGCATAACCATTTAAAAAACCCAGGCAGACATTTTAAATAATGACAAGTTATGCAGTAAGATGAAAATGTCAGACTGTCCACAGAAACAGAGAAGGTTTTGGAATGGGGAGATTACTCCCTAAAAGCAAAGTTTTCATACCT